TCTCCGCCTGCAGGATCTGGTCCAGCAGATAGAAGTAAAAGGACTTGGCCAGCTTGAATCGGCTCTTCGCCTCCGGTGACGTATACTTGGCGAGGAATTTCTTCTGCATCTCATCGATGTTGTTCAGCAGCTTGGCGATCACCTCTGGCCCAGCTTGCCTGTAAAAATGGAAGGCGATTTAAGCACAACAACGACTCAAATGTGGCAGCACCTGGACAAGGCAGGTGTGTTTCTACTTAAAACGAAATATAAACACTGACTATACTATAGGAAACCAATCGATAAACAGCCAGCATTGTTCTGCTTTAACTTTTCCACTAGAAAGTAACTATATCTTAGGGTATGGTAGTTCTATATCAATTACAAATACTGTATTCTCTGTAAAATAAATAAAAAAAAAAAACAAAGCCCAAACCAATTCTTTTAATTTTTACAAGGAACTGAGGAAAGCTGAAACCCAAACTGAAATCGATCTTACAGAAGGGTGTACTCATGATCCAACCACAGCCCTAAAATTTGATAGAAAAAAAGACCAGCTGGAGTTCTAGGAGTAACCATTTCTCTGGAGGAACATATGTTTCCCCATGAAAATGATCCAAGCTTTGGCTACTCACATGACAAACTCCGTGGGCTCCGTGATACGGGCAAAGGCGGCCAGCTGCTTGACATTGGTGGTGGCATTCAGGACGGGTTCAAACTTATCACCAGCCATTGCGGTGGCGGCGGGCAGATCCTGTTTGCGGGTGAGAGGCGTCACCGGCGGTCTCAGGGCTTGGTCGTTCATGCCGGTGTGATCGCCAGCATCGTAGGCGCTAAGGATGCGCTCATCGAACTCGCCGACACTGAGCACATACTGCTCGTAGCTAATATTGAGCGATTTCAGATTGCGCTCAAAGTTCTCATTGGCCAGCAACCCCAGCATGGTGTCCTTCTGTCCATAGATGGTCTGTTAGGAAATTAAAAGGAAAATTGTCAGATTTTCATCAAAAACACGTAACAAGGCAGCATAACGCACCGAGGTCTGCATGAAACTAGACATAATCTCACGGAAGGTGGTGGCCTTCATGGCCCTGGCCTCTTCGGTCATATCGCAGAAGTGGTCAAGAATACAGTGCTGCTGGTGGCGGAAGTCCTGCTCCAACCAGTTGGCTGGCAGGCCCTCGAATTTGGGATTGATGAGATCGGCGCGCTTCTCGAACAGCACGTTGTTGTATATCAGATCGATGCAACAGATCATCAGGTTGAAGGACGTCACCAGGTCCACCGTGGTGCTGGGCTTCTGGTTCTTGGCGCACAGAAACAGCCGCCAAGTGATGTCGTCCAGCTTGATGTACGAGCATTTACCGTGGGCGTGGTTGGAGTGCAGGGAACTGCAAGATTAAACAAAGAATTTTATTTAAATTTTAAGATCTTTGGGTGTTCTGCAGAGTTCAGACATACATGTACTTCGAAGGCTTCTTCTCGTTGGGCGGACAGGTGAATAGCTGGTCAAAAATGGAGCGATAGCGTTTGTACAGCGTGAAGGTAATGCTGAATCTGCGTTCCAGCACCTCGATCTCGTTGACAAACTCCTGCGGCAGGTTGGCCATGTCGCACCATTGCTTTATCTTGGTCTTAAAGTCGTAGATACTATAATTGTTAGAACAAAGGAATATATCTGTTAGAGGAGAAAGTGGACAATGGAAGGCATGGAGGGCACTTACCTCATTTGACAACAGCGCAGGAGATTGTTGAGGGAGACACAATTGCCCCGGACCACTGCATCCTGACCTATTACAGTGGGGGTGCTAGATTGGCGACAGGCGGCGAACAGTGCACAGCCCAGCCAGTGCGGAAACTCACCCTGAAAAATTGTTGTCTTTTTAGGGAAAGATTCTCGTTAAATAGATTGCAATCTCACCTCCAATGAGCATCGCTGTGAGACCTCGTGAAACATTTGGTAGCCATCCTTCTCCGTTTGACGGTCTATGTTCAGTTCCCGGCACAGATTGTTGTACTTGGCCTTGGTCAGCTCCTGGGTGTCCTCTGTGGAGACGAGAGATCCGCTGACCACCTCGGCACCCAGCTCCTGCGGCTCGGGTTCGCTCATCTTGCTCACCCAAATGCCCCCTGGGCTATTTTCTCACTTTCTTCGTTTTTCTTTGCCTTTTTCTTGCACTTTTCCACGTAGCAAACCGGAGGGCAGTCAAGGGGAGGTGAAATTGGTGGGGGTTGCGCGCAGAAGGCGGTGACGATGGCGGGAAGCGGGTATGAAATGGGACTGTTATCCTCTTCTATTTTCCTTCAACTGCAACTGGTACTATTTTCCTTTGGTTTTCCTCTTATGCACTGGCACTTGCCTCTCGTTTCTTCTTCTCACGGACATGCAACTGATTAATAAGTTTCCGTTTCTCGCCATAGAAAAAGGCGGGAAAGCGGAGGGTTGCCAGGGCTGCCGTGCTGTAAATTACCGGGCGGCGGCCTATTTTGCTCCACAACACTATTCGATCTCGGTGGCGATCAGTTTGAACACTTTATCTGGCCGATGGTAGCCTTTTATTTGATTTAATGGCAATTTAAGAATTACCTCGTCGCCAGCACCTAACAATAAGTGACTAAATAATCTTAATAACTTGCAAATATTACTAGAACTTGCGAAAACGCGACCTGCAACAGCATCTGGTCACACAATTCTTGGTGTTTTTACAGCCCTATCTGCGAAGATATGAGCAAACAGTGTTGATAAACGACTGCATTTTCTTTTGTTTTGGAAAATGTTTTGAAAAACATTCTATGTTTTTTAATATTTCAAAAATGTTTACATGTTTTTTATTTGACTCTTTTACTGAACAATTTAGGCAAAAGAATAAAAAAGATTTGGCATTTATTTTGCACTGTCACCTGCTGAGTGGTGGCGTTTTGGCTTCGGGATCGATTTATTGGGATCTTTTCTGGCCTCCCTAGCAAGGCGCTCGAACTCCTTGTGACTATGGGCCAAGGCTGCGGCAAGGGTCGCCTCCGTGCGGAGTTCTATATCTTTGGAGTCTTGGATATTGATATTCAATTTCTTTTTGGCCGAGACCTGCTTGACCTGGCTTGGATACAGCTTCTTGGGATGTTCTCCTGGTTTTCGGGTGTAGTCACTTCCATAGTGACTGGGCGGAGTAGGTGATAGTGGCTCACCAGAACTAAGGCTATCCCCGACTCGGTTCTCGCCCTGGTCAGAATCGATGGTGCTCCAGGGCAGGGAGGTCGACAACTCTGGCGGTTCTGGTTTTGGGATCGGTTCACCGGCAACAAGTTCTTTAACTTTAAGGATCTGAACCTTTTTGGCCAACTGCCCGACCGACAATCCGTACTGTGTGGCCATGCAATTTACTTCCTTCTTAATCCTTTGGCTCCCGGGCGCTGGAGTACTATGGAGTGGAACAATCTCTGGGGAGATCTTCTCAGGCAGTTGGCACATGCTGGACATGGAGGTGCCCTTGTCCTGAACGATCGGATAAGGGTTTGTCTGAGTACCAATGGTCCTCATGGAGGTAGCCTTGTCAAAGGACTGCTTATGGGATATTACTTTAGGAACCTTCACCACCTCTGCCTGCTTCTTCTTTGGTTTTTTCCCCATTTTTTCCTCTACTTTCTCCTCAGCCTTCTCCTCTTTCACCTCCAGTTTCTCTCCTTCCTCCTCCAGCTTTTCCAGCACATTCTCCGTTAGCTCCTCCTCCATTGACATTCTCGTAGAATTCTTTGGTCGCCTGGATACTATAGCGCAGTACTCCTTCGTCCGGGAGGCCTGGAAATGCAATTCATTGAGTTGCCGCTGTGGTGTCCTTTCCTCCAACTTCTGCTCTTCCACCACCAGCTTTTCTCCTTCCTCCTCCAACTTCGGGCCTTCCTCCGATAGCTCTTCCACCATCAACATTTGTTCTTTCTTGGATCGTCTACTGTTCTCCATCCTCCAGGCTTCCATCTGGGTCATCATCACATCAATCAGGAAATCACTGGCGTGGGGCAGGCGCGACGTCACCTGCTCCTCTACCTTTGGCTCTTCCAACTCCAGGATATTTCCTTCCTCGTCCAGCTTCTGGACGTCGCCTGGTCGCCTGTATAACACAAGACAGCGCTCCTCTGCTCGGGAGGCTTCCAGTTCCTTCAGCATTACACCCTTAAGGAACTCAAGGGTATTTGACCGCCACTGCATCGCCATCTCCTCAACCTCCTGCTCTTTCTCATGCAGCTTCTCCCATGCCTTAATCAGATCGTCCTTTAATGGCATCATTTTCGGATCATCCTCTGGTGTGAATTCAATGTGCTCCTCTGCCCGGGAGCCTTCCATCTGGTTTAGCAGGTCGTCCATTCGAAAGTCCATGGTCTTGGGCCGCCGCTGCAAGTTCTTGTGTGGCGCCACGAAGTCTGAGTTGAGGGAACGATGGTAGGTCTGTGCCCAGGCAACGGGCTTGCCTGTCGCCGGGTTAACTTTCACAATGGTGGCCTGGAATAGAGCTTCCGGGCAGTGCTGGTGCAACTCGCACAAGGAGGAGCTCTCCCGGCAGAGAGCGCTGGGTGCCTGGTGGTGGATTATCAGTTGCGGCTTCTCTTCCTCCGAATCGCTGACGGAAATCAGCCTTTGGTGGTTGGGACATGGCCGACCCACACCACAGAAACCGTCCGAGTATATTGAGCTCTCCATTCTTCGCTATGACCAGGTTTTTAGATGCAAAATAATTAATTTGAATTTTTTTAACAAAATTACAATTCTCTGTCTTTTTTTTTTAGATTTTTAATTTTTTTTGGTCGTTTTGAAATGAATTCCGAAAACAATATGATGATGTTAAAGTCAAAGCCTACTAAGGATGCTTTAGGAGCTACTACATTATCGAACACTATTTAGTGTTTTAAAACTATGACTAAATGCATATATTTTATTTTTGGGAAGACAAAAAATTTAATAAAATAAAATAAGGCACAAGGACAGGCACACAAAGTTGGAAGCTTTCTTGATCCTTCTGGGGGAGATTCGATTACTCCCGCCAATCGCCGATGATTTGGGAGGAGGGTACCAGTTCAAAGCGGGCGTTGGCCAGGTGAGGAGGCAAGCTGCCGAATCTGGGGGGGATTAGCAATGAGAATTTAGGTTTCTTCACTGTATCTTATGGCTTACCTGGGCCGGAATGAGGGAGCTGCTGGCGGAGCTGCCAACTTGGGAGCAGGTGCTTTGGCAATGGGTTTCACGGCCTGCTTCAGCGGAGCAGTTCCCGCATCAACGCTGTCCAGTGTGTTCCTCACCACGAACTGCTGTCTGGATTGGGGTCTGCCCGGATTTCTGTTCCGGGGCATGGTCATAAAGCGGAAGAGTCGGGGAGCGGCGGCGGTATCGTCGTCGGCGATGTCATCAGTGGCCAGGTCATCGCCGCCAGCAGCAGCGGCGTCGGGAGCTGGAGCTGAAGCCGCATCAGGACCGGCACCAGCACTAGCTATGGCTGCTCCACCCGCCGGGGGTGTGAACATGGCAGCTAGTCGGACGGGCACAAAAGCTGGAAGGCGAACCGTAATGGGAGTTCCAGCCGGGAGCTGGGGAACTGGAGCAGGAGCAGGGGCTGGGGCCGGAGCAGGAGCCAGAACAATTGGCCGAGGTGGAGGTGGTGAGGGAGGAGGAAGAATTAGAACCGGTGATGACGTTGTGGTTTCCGGCGGTGGAGGAGCAGCAGTAGTGGTAGCCGATTCCTGTTCCACTTCCTTCCACGCCTCCAACAGGGTCAGTAGCTCGTCCTTGCTCATATGCCCCAGTCCAATGGGGTTGTAGGACCACTCTCCTAGTCCCAGTCCCGTGCCGAGACCCAATCCACCGCCGCTGGGGATGGTATTCCAGCCGAGAGGCGCCACAGGACCCAGGTGCTCCAGGGGCTCGTACAGGGAGCGTTGGGGACGCGCGAGGACGAACTGCTGCTGCTGGCCGGCCAGCCTTTCGACAAGGATCTGGAGCACAAGGCCCAGCAGCGTGGCGCGAACTGACCCGATCATGGTTCTCCTTGGCTTCCAATTGTACAGCCATTGGGCGGAGCGATGGCCTTTTATATGAGACTCCTCCACTGGGCCGGTTTTTGGTCCAGATTGGTTTTTGGTTTGGGACCAATAGGAATTGGATCGGAAGGAGGAACTGAAAAGCATCATAACGGAAGTGCCGGCTCAACACCAAAGGCACTTGGAAAAATTTGTAGCTATTTAATAGAAGTTGCATGAACTCTGGAGATCAGGATATTTAGCTTATATTCTATAAGATCTTTAGATCTATAAGGATCTATAGAAAACCTTTATATTATATTGATAATCTAAAGATTATCTTTGAGTGTAAAAACAAGTTTCCCTTTGAGAGTCGCCCATGGCACTGTTCAGTTGAAACGCACACCACACGCACCGGAACCGGCATGGGCGCCCAGGCACCTCCGCCAAGTGACCAGGCCATTTAATTGCCCGAAACCTGGTCTGGTTTTGCGGGCGAACCGCTTTTCCATTTCGGGGCAGCAACAGCACCAGCAGTTAACATTAAAAACCGAAAACTGAAACAAAAACTGGGATGTGGCTGGCGGGAAAACCTGTTGGGCTTCACTTTGGTCACCGACTTTCCGACCGACAGGCTGGGAGAAGTGCGTGTGGATCGGGTGCACTTCCTCCATCCGCTTTTGTGGTGCAGATGTTACGCAACCGAGATTCCGATTTGTTTGTTTTGGGGTGGCAGGTTTTCGAATTCAAAGCAAGTTTTTAAATACAAGTTTCTTTGCTATTCAAGTTCAAATCTTGCCGCCTTATTGACTTTGCTGACATGGTCACACTCGCTGCCTAGCCCTTGCAGGCAACCTATCGAATGTTGCCCATCACTAGCCAAAAATAGTGTGACCGCATCTCGCTGACGTGTTTCCAACAACAATCAACTAAACACGAAACGGTGTTTCTACTGAAACACCCACAATCTGCGCGCCCGTACGCGTTGCAATATAGTTTTCACCGTAAGCCATGCCCGGATAATCATCCGTTACTACCAGGCCGGGTCTATTCCGCCAAACAATCGAGAAATCGCCAATCTACCGCCCACTCCGATACCGGATCCAGGCCAGATCATCTGGATTTTGACTGGGAAACCTCTGACTTTAGCTTCGTTTCAGGCCCTGAATGAAAACGAGCACCGGCAGACACATAGGAAACAGGCATAGGAGTAGCTAGTTAGGCTAGTTAGTTAGGCTACTCGGGATCCCATCCACACTCTTCGTTGGCCACCAGTGAGGATAACCAGAAAGCCGTAACCGTAGCCATGGCGCTGCTAACCATGATAGCCCGGGTCATCGATGGCCTACCCCTAGTGGGCACCATGCAGGATGACGAGCAGGTAAGCCGTCACTTTCCACGCTCCACATACCCACGCACACACTAATGTTTCGTTGCATGGTTGGAAAACTTTCACTTTCAGAGCGGGCGCAGTATACTGGATTACCAGAACCAGGCCAAGATGCTCTTCCGCAAACTGGGCACTCATTCGCCAGCTCGCAGTAGCATCGAGACCGGACCCTATCTATTCCAGTGAGTAATGCCATCGGTCGGCCGACCAGGGTCAAAGATCGAGGAACTACATTAGCAACTATGATTATTATTACGTGTCCAAAAGATTTCGAAATTTTTGCAATAACAAGATTTCTGTAGCTAGAGAAAGAAATATTTTGTAAACAAAATCTGAATCATAGCTGGGAAATCCACACAAAGAAATGCATTTTGCAATCTCGTCCAAACTGATGCAATCGACCCACTTTTTAAATGCAACTACCATTCACATATTGCAGCTACCTTATTGAAAACGATGTCTGCTATCTGGTGATGGTGGACAAGATGTACTCGAAGCGACTGGCCTTCAACTATCTGGAAGATCTGGCCCAGGAGTTCCACGCCAATTACGGCAGAAGGGTCAATTCGGTGACCAGACCGTACGCCTTCATCGAATTCGATGTGTACATACAGAAGGCCAAGAAGCAGCTGACCGACCGCAGGCGCAACATCAGCAGCATCAATACCCAGCTCCAGGATGTCCAGCGCATCATGGTCCAAAACATAGACGATGTACTTCAACGTGGCACCGTGCTGGCAGGTAAGTATGGCCTGCCTCGTAGATTCTTACTTAAGATTATCGCTAATCGGATAGTAAATCATAAATCGTGCGATTTGTGATTTATAATTGATGTGCGTGTCAGAGTAAGAGAAGTCCGACCGATAAATGGCCTCATGTTTTTTAAATATTTTCCATTATCTTATCTCTTATCTTATTGTTGTTGTTTTCAGAACTTGACACAAAAACGCAAAACCTATCGATGATGTCGCAGAAATACAAGAAGGACGCCAAGATGCTCAACCGGAAATCGATGTACGTGAAGGCCGCTGCCGGGGGCATTCTATTCCTAGTGTTCGTTCTGTACTTTTGGGTTCTGTAATATTCACTAGTACTACGGTATTTAGTATGGCGTTTTGTACGACCTTTTTTTAACGACTTATGTCGGCAGTCGGACGTCATAGACGGACGACGAAAAGACATTTATAGAGTTACGCGTTCACCTGTACCCTCTCCTGCCCTACCTGGCAAGACCCCCACACACACACACCGCAATAATACATATATATATATATAGATATTTTTCATAGAAAGAGTAGCCAAAACCCAGCCAGTCATTGAAAATGGGGCGAAAAAAAAAAACGACACGGGCGCCGCTTTCGAGGCTTATTTACCTTCTAATTTAAGTCTTTTTTTCAACCAAACGATTGTAATATATATTATTTCCTTGGATTCCATTAACTGTTAACTAGGTGCCCCAAATGCCCCACTCCCTTCTACCCCTCCTTCTCCTCTTCATCGTCAACGTAAATAAACCCCCTTATTTGCGCAAGTTTTTCTTGCATATTATTATTTTTTTGATTACGTTGCTATTTTAATTGTTTTCAAAACTAAATTCACGTTAAAAAAAAATTGTAAATTCAAAAATGCGTGTGTGTGTCCATGTCTCTATTGTCCAATGTCTAGTTTGTATATGTCATTGCTGTGGAGGTAACACTGTACAGCGATCGGTCGAGGGTGATTGAAAAACCGGAAGTGGAAAATGAAGTGGAATATAACTGAAAATATTAGCAAAGCAAACGAAACGAAAACGGTTCAAGTTTTAGGCAATTTATATGTATAAATTTAAGGCAAAATAAATCAATTTACATTGTTTAATATAAAGATAATGGTTTATTTATTTTTTTTTAAGGGTGTTTGGGAAGAAAGCCCCTCTACCAGAATAAAAACTATAAAACTTTAATGATTTTTTGTTTGATTTTAATTATTAGTTTGCCTTTATATATATATATTTCGTTTCACTGGAGTGTGATGTGTGATACATTCGCTTATATAGTTTTTAATATATATATCATCTTGCAAGCTATCGATTTTCGATTCTCTTGTTTAGTTTCGTTGCGTCTCGGCGCATATAAATTTGTAATATCAAATTTTTTATTTTTTTACAATTAGGAAAAAAATGCGCTGTTTACCATTTACACAGTTGCTCTCTATATCGTTAATTTTGTGTGTATAATTTTGTTAAATATCGAATCCGAATACATGGTGTATACGCTCCCTATATATCTCTATATATTTTTATATTTTTTTTTTATATGAATGCCTATATGCTTTTCTGAGATTTTTTTCGGGGGGTTTTGGGGATTTAAAAAAAACAAGAAAGGAAAGCTAACTTCGGGCGGAGCCGAAGTTTATATACCCTTGCAGTTAAAACCGGATATTTATCGCAAACATCGGATATAGTTGGCCGATCCTTATGGGAATAGGAATATATAATCCAATTTATTACAATACAAAATCTAAAAAAAGTCCCAAACTTCTATCTTCAAAAATACGAAAGTTGATATTTCTACCAAATACCATTTCCGATCGTTCAGTTATATGGCAGCTATGGGATATAGTCGGCCGATCCTAATGAAATTTGGTAGGTTGGATCAACTGACCAAGAATTAAATCTGTACTAAGTTCCAGCTTTCTATCTTCAAAAACACGAAAGTTGGGTCATTTCCGATCGTTCAGTTATATGGCAGCTATAGGATATAGTCGGCCGATCCTTATGAAATTTGGCATGTCGTATTATTTTGCCAAAAATAGCTCTCATGTCAAATTTGAACTCTCTAACTCTAAAAACACCAAAGTTATACCATTTCCGATCAATCAGTTATATGGCAGCTATAGGATATAGTCGGCCGATCCGGGCCGTTCCGACTTATATACTGCGTGCAAAGGAAAGAAGGGTGTGTGCAAAGTTTCAAGTCGATAGCTTTAAAACTGAGAGACTAGTTCGCGTAGAAACAGACAGACGGACAGACAGACGGACAGACAGACGGACAGACAGACGGACAGACGGACAGACGGACAGACGGACAGACGGACAGACGGACATGTTCATATCAACTCAGGAGGTGATCCTGATCAAGAATATATATACTTTATAGGGTCGGAGATGTCTCCTTCACTGCGTTGCACACTTTTGACCAAAATTATAATACCCTCTGCAAGGGTATAAAAAGCAAACTGATGGAGAATTTTGTTGACTACATTTTTTGGTTTTTTGATTTATATATTATATATATAAAAAAAAATAATGAAAAGCTCGTGTTAGTTGAGGCTTTAAAAAAAATACATTTTAAATACTTGGTTTATAAAAAAAAAAACGCTGCTGAAAGCGGAAACCAGATCGGGATAGATACTATATGCATTTGTAAATAGCTAGATGTTTTTTCTTCTTTTAGATGGAGATGCTTTTGGTTGATGTTCTACTATCCTTGCTATTAGATTCTTGCAAAAATTCATTACAAAATATTTGTTGTTTCTCAATTGGTTTTCAGCTAATTCTAATTGTTTTGTTTTGGGTTTTTTTTTGGCTTGATTTCTTTGTTTCTCGTTCTTGGCTCCGACATCTACAAATTTAAAAAGGCAGTTTTCGCGCATGGAGGGACAATTACAAATTACAAATTGAGATTCCATTACAAAGCATCAAAGATTTCTATTATAGTTTTAGTATTAAAAAAAAAAAAACAATAATTATAATATAACGCAAAAAAAAAAAAGATTCTGAACATTGAGATTAGAGATTCTGTTTACAGTTTTTCATTTTTAAGTTACCTCTCTTGCGGGGTAAGCTTAAATAGTGCTTAGGACTATTAAAAAAAAATAATTAATAATATAATATATATATTCATATATATAGTATATCCATGCTTGGTTTTACAATTTATGTTTAGAGTACGAGTACCGTTATTAGCTTAGGAAATAACTGTTAGTAAGTTGCATAGTTTTCTCTGCGCAAGGAGAAGAGAGTAGTTTCCCAACCCCGGGCCTTTTAAGCTATTTATCCATAATATCCTTCTCCCATAGATCCTTGCCGTTCTCTAACTGTTCTCTATATATATATATATATCCATCTAATGTTAGGTGTATATTTGTTGCCGCTAGGCTGGTGCATATGTATCCGTTTTTAGTCGTTTATATGTATGATCCTTTTCATTTGTTTTCTGAGGCTATGTACAATGGGCATGGGGGCGTTTGTTTTCTATTTGATCCGCTGATGGTCCGGCGTACTCTTCAGTATATCCGGCTGGTGGTGGTGCTGCTGCTGCTGCTGATGGTGGTGGAGGTGGTGCGGATGATGGTGGCCGGAGCTCAGGGTGCCGGGCTGACTGCCACCGCCGCCAGCATGGTGGGAGCTGCTCAGAGTGTGCGAGTGATTCGAATTCAACGTGTGCGTTGCGTGCGAGTTGAGGGTGTTGTGGGCAGTGGTGGTGGCATTGGTGGAGAATCCGGTGCCCACACCCCCGGCCACTGTGGCTCCGCTGCCGCCGCCGGCCGTCGTCGGGCGCTGGGAGGTCCGCAGCGAGCGATGCGATCCGTTCCGGGTCAGGGAGTTCATTTGCGGTGTGCCCGGCACCGTGTGCCCCAGGGCGTTCATGTAGTCCGCGATGAGCAGGGTGATTTCCAGGATCTTGGGCTTGCTCATGGCGAACAGGAGCTTCTGCTCGCAGCCGCCGCCATCGTCGTGCGACACCACCAGCATAAAGTCATCCTGACAGCCGCCGAACGTCATCACCGAGCTGTAGGGATACCGCGCCACCGGCGCCATGGTCGACAGCTCCAGAACATTTAGCGCATCCTCGGCCACAGCCAGCCAGGCGACTGGCGAGGACCCAGCAGAGGATGTCTCGCTTTGGCGCGGCTTGGCCTGGAACAGGCAGGCTCCGAAGTACGGCCACTTCCGGCAGCAGGTCAGGTAAATGCGCACACAGTCCAGCGTGGAGCGTCCCTTGAGCAGCATCCACTTGGACACCAGCAGTTCCTGGACATCCTTCAGCTGCTCGGCGCCCAGGGCATCCCGATAGCGGTACGGATAGAACTTGTCCAGTCCCTTGAGGCCCACGCCCACGTCCCGTGACTTCTCCAGCGAATAGTCACCCATATCGATCTGCGACATTAGGGAGGCCAGCTCCAGGGCCAGTTCCCTGGAGAGGGGGAAGCGTCCCTGGACGATCTGGGCATTGGTCTGGTAGCACAGTAACAGCCGCTCCTTGTCCGTCTCACACTTGATGGTGTGCTTCCAGTAGAGCCGGTTCTTGTAGCTCAACTGGATGACCCTGGAGTTCTCGAACTTTCCAGATCCCTTCTCCCTAAGCGCCGTCTCCCACTTGCTGATCACATCGCACAGCTTGGCCAGCGGCTCCAGATAATGCTCCAGATCCTTCTCGATGGGATCATCGCTGAACAGGCAGAAGCCGTTGGTGGCATCTCTCGTGCCCAGTTCGTGGGCCAAGGTGGCCTGGAATTCCTCAATCGTTGTGGAACCATCAAAGGAAACCACCTGTGGGTGGGAAGGCATTAAAGTATTAGTTCCTTCGGTGGAAAGGACAAAGACTGGAAACTAACCTGGTAGGTGGAGTTCATCATGTGCACCGGAATCGCATGTGGCAGTGAATGGTGATAGGGATTCTTGAGCAATATGGAGAGCACCTCCATTCGCGAGGGCTTCGTCTCCCGGCCACCGTTCTTCAATGTCCTCTCCAGAGCTCTCTCGCAGTAGGCGGCATACTTGCCCGTTTCCGTCTTACTGTCGGCATTCCGGGACAAGTGGAGCTTGAGGTACCAGAGCAGTCGGCTCGAACGGGGAACGAATAGGGACACGGCCAGGGCCAGGAGCTGCCAGCCCTGGACGAAACTGTAGGCGGGCGGGTTGCTTTTGCAGTCGATAATGGGCGTGGCAGCTGGAGCCTATGAATCGAATATTATAAGATTATCTATCAATTGATCAAGATTATGAAGAAACTTGTAAGATAATGGAATTAGTAGAATGTGAGGTTAGGAGAGAGAGAGAGAGAGTTAACTACGTGACTACTTAAATAGAACGCAACTGTACTCGCACACAACACACACACTCACACAGCCACAGACAAAAAGAGAGAGAGTTAGAGAGTGTTGGTAAACGGTGTGTTGAATTAGTGAGACCATAAATTTCCCCGCATACCTGTATGGAGGTGGGCGAACTGCCGTTGGCTTGGGCGTGGCCCGCCTGTTGGGTATCACAGGTGAACAGGCTTTGGGTGGCGCACAACAGTAGTTGCTGTAAATTTCGCGATTCGTCATTTGGTTCGATTTTGGTACAGTGTTGAAAAACGATTGTTCACACCGAAACACATTCGAATACGTAACGCAACGCAACGTAACGCAACGCAACGTAACGTAACAAAATGATGGAGAAGAGAAGAAGAAGCCAGAGAACATATTCGGATCAATTTTTGTTGTTCGACTCATCATTAATTAGCAAGGGTGTTGTTTTTTTTTAGTGATGAATGTTTGTTTTTCTTGTTTGTTTGCAGTGTTCTTTTGTAACGTTAATCGCTTTGTAAATGTTCGTTAAAAAAAGAAAGCAATAATGCGACAAAGAATAACGATATAACGAGACAATGGAGAAATATTACAGCACATTCAAGCGAATTAAGAAAATAAATTGAAGCAGAGAACAAAAGAGAAAAAAAAATACATATTTATGCAAAACATGTTTGAGATAACAGTTACCAACACTGATTTATGATCTCTCCGTCAGTGTTGGTAAGAGAGCAAACACTGCTGCTTAAATTGTGGTTATGTTTGTTGATCGGTGGTTGAGTGATTTATTCTAGTGTTGTATTTTGATTTGTTTTTTTAAGTTAAATTTACAGCAAATACTTTTTTATACAAATGAGCTGTTGTTGTTGTCGTTTTGATGATTAATCACATTTAGAGATACACATAGAGTTATACAGATATGTATTGAAAGCTATATGTACATATACAGGATACATGTCTGACAGTTATGGGGGAAATTTTTTGTCTGTTTTCTACAAAGAACCAAACTAAAGAAGAATCTTAACTCAAAATAAATGAAAACCAATTAAAATATGGTTATTAGTAAGATAAGATGAGCATGCTTTAATGATTAAGTGTTTGGGTAAATATAGTTGATTGGATATTATATATTTTGTGGATTATTTTCGAGTATAAAGCGTTCGTAAGCTTGTATCGTAAAGCAAAGCCTTTTTATTCATTTGGTTATGATCGCAAAGAAAAGAATACCTATTGAGACTCGGGCGGTGACTGTACCATTTTCGAGTACAGTTCGAACCCAACAGCTTCGACGCTCGGTTTCGGGCTGTTCTTGCAATTGGTTAGTGGGACTTGAAAGGGTATATGACGGGGGAGATGCTACATCAAAAAACCAAAACCAAAACCAAAAAAAAACAAGGACATTCAACTAAACACATTTTTCGGGGATGCAAGGTTATTTTTTTTCCATTAAAGGATGTTAATTAGGTTCAATGGGGGGGAGAGGTGGGATGGTGGGACATAAGAAGCTTTGCAACTGAAAAACTTACGCGCGTTTGCTTGCCCAGCTTCTTGTTTACCTGGACGCCGACACTGAGCTTCTGACCCATGTGCCGGGAGGTCTGCTTGATCAGGATGCAGATCATCTCCGTTTGTAGCTCAGGCATGTCCAGGGCGTGCTGCAGGGCGTTCTGGGCCAGGACAACATGATAGTCGATGCCTGGCTGATTCACAGCCACCGACATGAACAACTGGATGCTCTACAAAAGTTTAAAAATTGAATTTCAGAAACATAATCCTCAGGAGAAGTTAAAGTATACCCACCTTGAAGAGCTTGATGGCCTCCGGCTGCATGGTTTCCGTGTGCATCGACGATAGCGGTGCCGTGATGGTGTCCTTGGTGTGCAATAGTATCGGATGACGCCACAGCACGCAGTCTACAAAGTAAGAAGAATTAGAGAATGTTCTTCAGAAGAAACGGAAAAGTAAAACCCACTTGGATCGCCGTCAGTTTCCATGAGCTTCTGAACGAGCTGCTCGTACTGGGTGCCAGCACTGGGACCACCACCGGAGACCACCGTGAGATGGTAGAGCCAGTTATCCCTTTCCGGTTTGCCGGACAGGATCAGATAGGTCGGTCCCTGGTGGGCCGGATAGATGGCCACTGTTAAGCGGGCCTGATCCTGGGCAGCATCTTCGCGCTCCTCGGAATCCGAATCGGAAACATGCTCCACCTCCTCCACTCGAGCATCCCGCATGTTTATCTGTCCCAGGGGATTCTAGAAGAGATAATTTTTCAAAAAGTTAGTATGAACTTTCCATTGAGATTTCGAGAAATACTCACCGTTTCGGCTGGGGCCTTGAAATAGAGGAACATCTTCCCAAGGAGAACACACCAGCACTTCTTGGCATGGCCGTTCTTCACCTTGGTGACCCATCCCTGCACTGTGGGCTTCTGGTCGTCGCGGCTCAATAGGAGCTTGGTGGCATTCCTCCGCTGGACGTTCTGCAGCACCCGGATCCAGTCGTCCATGGTGGCGTGCGAGTCGGCCGTGAGGTAGTAGACCTTCTTCCCGGTGTCGATCTCGAAGGTGGAGGCTCCCTCCGCCCGGTTGATGCGACAGGCCTCGTCCAGCTGGATCTGGCCCTGGGGCTTCCGCTGCACGTCGTGCTGGCTCTTCCAGTAGTTCAGCGATCCATTCTTCAAAACGAACCAACGCTTGCGCCAGGTCTTCAGCTTGCCACCGAGCTTGGCTAGGTGGCCCATCTGGAAAGGTGAAAGGAGTGGATGAGGTTCAGTACTGTAGGATAAGGGTGGGTGCCATATAAGGGTTTCCCCTTGGAAAATCCCCATTTTCGATTTTCACGATTTTTGTACCTTCCGATCAAGATAATTTCTTTAATTTATATCCGATCGGAAAAAGGAATACATTTCCGTGATTAGAGATCCTAGAAGCCCATTTCCTTATTTAAAATCTTCCTCAAATATCCTTTTCAATTTTTTCGAATTTTTCCTAGGGGTACCCCTTCAAAAATCACCATTTTCGATTTTCTCGATTTTTGTACCTTCCGATCAAGATAATTTCTGTAATTTACATCCGATCGGAAAAAGGAATACATTTCCGCGATCAGAGATCCTAGAAGCCCATTTCCTCATTTAAAATCTTCCTCAAATATGGTTTTCAATTTTTTCGAATTTTTCCTAGGGGTACCCCTTTAAAAATGCCCATTTTCGATTTTCTCCATTTTTGTCCCTCCTGATGAAGATAATTTCTGTAATTTAGATCCGATCGGAAAAAGGAATACATTTCCGCGATCAGAGATCCTAGAAGCCCATTTCCTCATTTAAAATCTTCCTCAAATATGGTTTTCAATTTTTTCGAATTTTTCCTAGGGGTACCCCTTTAAAAATGCCCATTTTCGATTTTCTCTATTTTTGTACCTTCCAATGAAGATAATTTCTGTAATTTACATCCGATCGGAAAAAGGAATACATATCCATTATTAGAGATCCCAGAAGCCCATTTCCTCATTTAAAATCTTCCTCAAATATGGTTTTCAATTTTTTCTAATTTTTCCTAGGGGTACCCCTTCAAAAAACCCCATTTTCGATTTTCTCTATTTTTGTCCCTTCCGATGAAGATAATTTCTGTAATTTACATCCGATCGGAAAAGGGAATACATTTCTGTGATAAGAGATCCTAGAAGCACATTTCCTTATTTAAAATCTTCCTTAAATATGGTTTTCAATTTTTTCGAATTTTTCCTAGGGGTACCCCTTGACAAATCCCCATTTTCGATTTTCACCATTTTTGTCCCTTCCGATGAAGATAATTTCTGTAATTTAAATCCGATCGGAAAAGGGAATACATTTCCGTGATTAGAGATCATAGAAGCCCATTTCCTCATTTAAAATATTCCTTAAATATCGTTTTCAATTTTTTCGAATTTTTCCACGAGGCAACCCCTTCAATATCCTCTCTGAAAAGGATATAGATGACCCTCTACCATACTCTACCAGTCTATTTTCAGTTGGAACCAAGGGATATTTACCTTCTCCAGGGACTCGATCTTCTTGCTGGGCGAGTCCACGTAGGATTGGCGCATCAGGAGCGAGGGCATGGAGGCGTCCATGCAGGTCGACTCGGAGACGGCGTCCGGGGGCAGGGCGTAGTCGTCCGAGAGTCCTGATTCAAAGGAGAGATCTGAAATTACTGTGCCACGCATGTGCTGCAGGAGGGGGGCTGGGTGGTTGGGCAAGAGGGGGGCCTGGTTGCGCCTTGTGGGCGTGCGAGGGCGTGGCAGCGTATTCTGGCCATTCGATGGCGTCACCAGCGTCGTCTGGGCCCCTTGGAACGGGTGGTTGTGGTTGTGATTGTGGTTGAGGTTGTGGTGGTTATTATGGGGCAGAGTATGGTGATGGTGGTGGTGGTGGAGGTGATGGTGCGGAAGCGAGTGCGGTTGGAGATGCTGGCTGGTGTGAGTGATGGATGTGCGTGGTTGGAGTTGGACTGGAGGTCAGAGGTCAGAGGTTATATGGTTATTCGGTCGGCGATGGTCGATTGATGGACAAAAGTGGTTAGAATCGCAAGTTTAGTTTCTATAGAGCTTTCTAGTCAAGAATCTTGAAGGGAAAAGCAGGCATTTCTAGAAGGGATTAGTCTAGGATGCAGTTATCAGAGAGGGATGCAGAGGGATACAGGCATCTAGGAGCGTCTAGGATGTGTTGGGATAGAGTTCAAGTGTTAGTAGTGTAGTTTGGGGGTGTCAGGTGTGGTTACTGTTCTAGTGGACACTAGAGTCCTTCAACTCTCCTCTCCGAGGAGGCTACGCTACGCCGGGGTTTCTGCGTCTCTATCACGCAGGGATCTAAGAGGGCCAAGAGGGATAAGATTAGAAGCTGAGACTCACCACGCGCCTTGGCGTTCTTGGGACTCTCCGAGCCACTCCGCTTGGCCGGACTCAGGCTGGAGGAGGTCTTCAGGCTCTTCGAGGGACTCGAGGCGCTGCCCGATGTCGAGGTCTCCGTGTTGTCCGTGCTGGAGGAGTTGTGCGAGTGATGGGTGAGCATGACGGCATGGTCCTCGCCGTCGCTAGAGTCGTCACTGGAGTCGCCGGTGAAGGGCATCGACCGGATCTGGGAGGCTCGACCCTTGACCGTGGCATACACGGGCACGGATATATCACAGAAGCCGCCGCTGGCGGTTTGTTGCTGCCGCGATGGCGGCAATGGTGTACCCGGCGTACTGCCCAGTGTGCCGTGTCCGTCTCCGGTATTGTGACCATGTCGCCTGCCATTGGACAGACTCGTGCCGGTGCTAGTCACGGCAGCTCCTTCTCCGCCCACGCCGGTGGTGCCCTCTTGAATGTCCGGCTCCTGGCTGGTGGTGCTCTCCGCGGTGCTGGTGCCTCCCGTGCCGGCCAGGCCATCGTTGGCCACCTGGTAGATCTTGGCCTCCCAGCTGGGAAAGCGATGCAGCGGCGGGGTGGGCGGACGCGGCACGCCCAGTTCGCTGGTGGTCGTGGTGGTAGTGCTGGAGTTCCCGCCACTGGCCATCAGGGCCGGATTGTTCTTCATCCAGGCGGGCAGCTTCTCGCAGGAGGGCGTATAGATCTCCGCATAGTCGTGGGCCGTGTCCGTGTCGGAGCTGTCGGGCCGGGCGCCCGAGGATGCCACCGAGCCGGGCGCCTTGCTGGAAATGCTCGAAAGCGGTGCCAGGGTGAGGCCATCGACGGCGGCCACCAGGTTGCGTTCCAGCTCCTGTGGCTCCATCGATAGATTCCGTCGGTGCTGGTGATGGGGATATGAACTGGTTAGCGGTCTTCCGATGATCTCCTGGGGATCGAGACTCTCGCTGCGTCGCCGGTGCTCGGGATTGGAACCACTGCCTCCCGTAAAGTCCTGCACGTCCAAGCTCAGGCTATTCCGTACCGGGCCGACGATGCTGTGGCGCTGCGACTGGTTGGCGATGTGATTCTTCAGGAGCTCCAGCTGCTGGTTGCACTTGATGTTCTGCTCGCGTAGCAGTTGGTTCTGCTCCTCGAGGTCGCGTAGCTTGTTGTTCACCCACTCCTTAATCTTGGCCGCCTTGGCTTCGATCTGCCGGGCGTCGTGAAGTCTTAGCTGTCGCTGCTCCTCCACCTGAATCTCCAGCGATGTGATGGTCTTCTCTGCCTCTTGGATGGGCGGTGTGGCTACTCCCGATCCTCCTCCGCCTCCAGTTGCCGGCAATCCCACTTGATGGCTGGGTGAACTGTTACTCCGCGGTTGCTCCTGGGGATGTGGATGCTGATGCGAGTGCTGCTGCTGGTGCTGCTGGGCTGGCTGCTGTTGAGGTGGCGGTGGTTTGGGCCACTCACTCAGCCGTTGTTCCATAGCACGCACCTACAAAAAAAAAAGGATCAAAAGGATACGGGGTTAGTCTCGAGTTGCGAAAACTTTCCAGAAATTAAATTAAATTCACACTAAGCCAAGGGAAAAGTTTTCCAGGGTCTTGGGTCTAATGGTTACACATGACCCTCATGGCACCCGGGGATTAGCTCAGGGAAGTATCAGGAAAGTTGCTTCTGATGGTGCACTGGGAGAAGAGAACTCCAAGTCTGCAAGTCTCCTCTTTGGAATGTCCTGGCTGGCCAAAGTTGTGTAATTAAGAAGCACCATTTAACACCCGACTGCGGCAGGGAATACCATTACAAAATGGCCAAGAAAACGAGCCCGCCACATGCCACACTGCCACTGGCACTGCCACTGGTATCCAGGAAATAAGTATTTTTATGGTTACACAACAATTTGCAGCCAGGGAGTGGCTGTTGGAAGACAGGAAAGAAATAACTTCATTTGGCACGCCAGGAAACCAAACTGACAACTAAACAAAGCCGGAAGTGAAGCTAAAGGGTACACCACCCGAGTCTAGAGTTGGAAACTAAAAGGGGGAGGGGGTGGAGCAACTAATATTCCAGAAGTGTCGCCACCTATCGCATTATTAGTTGTCAGACAGGATTCCGGGATTGTGTACCCCAAATGGGTCAATTGTTTAATATCCTTTTGGAAGAAGGAGGGCGGTGGCCCTTCGGGGTGAATGCATCGAGGTCCTTGCCATTGCGGTAAAAAAAAAATAGATAAGCCGCCAAAAATAGTATAGAATGAAGGGGGGGGATACTCATACATATATGTATATAAAATGCTAAAGTTTATGCCAGTCATGGGAGGAGTTTCAGTTCCAGGGATGTGCCCAACTACATAGAGTTATGGTCATGCAAACTACAAAAGTAGTTCCTCCAAGGAACACCCCTCAAGATCAAGGGAGTCAGGAAATCAAAGACCCAGAGTCTGGGCCGCAAAAACTTTAACCATAAACTAAGCTTGTGCCTCAAAAACACAAAAGTTATCCGGTTGGAGCTTATTTAATGGCCGGAACAGTCTTCTCCGATTTCTCGGCAAAAAGTCTCGCCTTAACATTTTTCAAATGAATTGCCTGCTTTTAGGCGTGCCAGAGCCTTACACCTCCTCCTTCGAGATAGAAAGGCAAACAAAGGCAGGCAGGAGGATGAGGATGAGCTTCAGCTTGACTTTATCTTTAAATGCGTTTTCGAAATTCACAGACACGCAGCTGCGACTCGGTATCCCATTCGCCAGCAAAAGGATATCTATGAACATCCTAGACAGACAGCCAAATCCTGGCAATTTTCGTTATTGGATTTGCAATCTTATATTTTTTTTTCTTCTATAGGGAGGGGGTTATAGGTCCTGGTGGCATGTGAAAATTATTAAACACCTGAGGAGGGGGGTTCCTTCTTCTCATATGTATAATATTCTTTTTGTTTTTTTATGGGAAGAACATGTTTTAATCTTGATCCCAGCTGGCTTTAAAAACAAATTGCTTTTCAAATCATTTATTAGAATTCTATAGCCTTGTCTGGCTTTTAACATAAATCTTCAAAAAAAAATGGAGAAGAAAATCTATAAGAATTCCAAGACAATAATTTGCTTCAAAGCACAATCGGATTACGATGAAAAGGGCAGACATCCTTCCATCCTGCCAACCAAGTCGTCGATAAAAAGATGAATAAGCGAATGAATAAACTAAGGAATTTGAATAAAATTTCAATTGAATTCTGGGAATGGCACTGGCAGATGCAATTAAAGTGGGTGGTTAGGGTTCCAAGACCAGTGCTAGTTCCCTTCGAGATGACTAACCATATTCTGGCTAGTTTTGGTTGAGGGGCCACTTCTGGTGACTCACTCACTGTTGTTGCTGAAAGGGTTTCCATCCAAGGACCTCCACCCTCCACTCTCTCTAAAAGGGGGGGTTCTATGATTAATCTGTTTATAATGAAGACAACATTCTCCCCAAACTTGGGGAGGGGGGAGGAGATGGGAAATTACCAAAACAGCCGGACTTGATGAAGATATAATGACTGTAATGGATGGATATATAAGCAGAGGGGACCTGGATCTACATATATGTATAGTGTGTAGGGGGTACTCTTGAGGGAATATTTACACAAGACACTGAGAGAAAAATATATAAAAACTTGGGAATATAATATAATATAATAAATATTTAGTATATGATTTAATAATAAATATTTTAGAATATACGTTATAAAATATATAGTCTTGGAAGTTGGGTTTTTTTTTGGAAGAAAAAAGGTTTAAGGTTTGTTCTTATATGTAGGGTCTCTTGAAAGAATATTTCCCCAAGACACTGAGAGAAAAGAAGTCTACATTAACACCAGAGGTTAGAAGCTAAGTAGTTGAGTATTTTTTAAGAAGAAGGTTATATTCTATAGCCTCTAATATATATCATTTTTAAACTCAAACTACTTCTTCTATTAAAAACTTAAATCTTAAAAATTTTATTTATCATTTCTCTTAATTTTTAACTCAATTTTATTAAAAATTTCTTTCAGTGTCTTTGAAATTTCCATCCTAGCTCTGGCAATTTGTTAATATTTCTCAAAATGTGCCGCAACGCAAACAGAGTGTCGTGGCGCCCCACCTCCACCTTTCCTTTCACTAAAAGACCCTACCTCCCTACTCCCCCCATGCCTAAATCTTTAGATATTTTTTTTTCTTTGTGTATTTTTTCCTGCCACTCATACAGAGCCTGAAATCCAGAAGAAAAAAAATATATATATTTTATTTGCGTTTCTTGTGTTTCTTTGACTTCTTGAGCAAACAGCTGTACTCCACCGGCTCTGCATGTGCAACCCCCCTACTACCCCCTAGTTCCTGCCCCCACCCCTCCTCTCTCTGCTGACTGCCTCGACGTTTAATTTGGAGTCATGATTCCATTGTTATTTATAGTCAACAAAGCGGCAGCCGTTTGAGAGCTGCCACACTAGGAAGCTTAAGAAGGGGGGGACTGGCTGCAAAAAGAACGGGGATGGTGGGGGGGCATCAGTGGCAGAACCACTCAAGAAAACACTCCATAAAACATTGTAGCCGCCACCCCTCCATATTTTTGTACATTTCTTCCCCCCCAAAAAAAGTATTCTGTGGCACGCGCTTCTCTCTGCCTCTTCATTGTCGTCGTCTAGTCTGGGGCAACTGCCACTTATCTGCAGAATATCTATATATATATATATATATATATATTTGGGGGAGGGATATATCGTTAACTGCAGAAGTCAGGCAGCAGAAGTCTCCCCAAAAATTATCCAAAAAAATATTGATTTTCTTTTGAAGAGAAGATTCCTTTATTTCCAAAACCATAAAATCCCATTTTAATTACTTTCTTTTTTCGCGTCCTGATCCTTGGGAAATATGTAGTTAGTTCATCCCTTTTTTATCCCAAAAGGACAATGCTCTTTGTGAAAAATCCTGAAGCGATGATGCTGCGAATGATTTTCCCATTACAGTCACTGTCAATATTTGCAGCATGTTTTGGCAGCTTTGAAATTGAAAATGTGCATGTTTCACATTATCCTGGCTGGAACGTGGCTGTTAAACATGGCAATGCTTCATCATGCTTTGCCAAGCATCCTTTCTGCTTCAGGTCCTTGCTTATCCAACTCAACAACTCAAAAAAAAAAACTAAAAAAAAAAACCCAAAGGTTGGTTTGGACTTGAAAGATATCCTTTAGGGATTAGAAATTACTAACCAGTTACCATTAATATAAACCTCATCTTGGCCCTGGTCTTGATCATTATTTATGCATTATCCTTTCGGTTATATATGAGGTCGATTTAGTCCTTAATGGCAGTGCCAGCAACTGATTTATAATGCAGACACCGTTTGATGTATCTCTCCAAAGGGGGGTATATACATATATATAATATATATATGCAAAGAAGAAAGTTTTTCAAACCATCTGCCAGACAATAAACTAAAAACAAAAGTTTCACGCTTTTGATAAAAACTTTTTTTGTTTCCCAAAGGCTTATCCTTATCCTTTTTTTTTTGTGAAGAATTTAAGCTGCTATTACCCTGCTTTTATTTTTATTTCTAGACTAATTCCACAATTTTTTTCATGACTTTATTTTAGCTTTAAAAAAAAACTCTTATGATCTTGAAATTTTCCAGCTTCACAGCTGCTCTTGAGAGCCTTAAAATGGTGAAGGGGAGAAAGGAAAAAAGTCCTTCAGCCTGACTGGGCTGCCACATTGTCAAGTAGACTCCAGCTCTCCAAGTCTCCAGCTTTCCAGCTCTTCAGCTCTGCCAAATGGCAAACAATGTCCAGGACTCTGGCTTGAAGGATGAGGTTCCACGACTTTTCTGCAGGACTTTTTAATGGAAATTCTATGAAATATTTTAAGGCTGCTGCTCAATAGAAGCAGTTTGTGCTTTGGAAAGTCTTCAAAAATAAAAATTGAAGAAACCCCACCACACCCACAGTCTTCTCTTTAAAAGGGAATCCAATGCCAGGCCAAGACATGGGTTGGGTTTTCTCGGGCGTTGGGTGTAAATGATGTTTTTCCGCTCCAATGGCTCTGAGCTTCTTTTGGCTCTTAGCTCTTGGCTTTTAGAATTTCAAAATACAAAAATACCATTTACCATTTAACCATTTTTACCCATTCCGATCGAGTTAAATAGCTTTTCTCGATTCATTACAAAACTGCCAATGGCCTGGGGGTCTGGAAGGTATGAGGGTTTGGAGTTGGAGACTTGGGGCTTGGAGTTGGGAGCTGGAGGCTTGTGGAAGCTAACTCGTAAAGCCTGGGCGGACTTTAATTATGGAAACCCCACAAAACTCAAACCCCTGAAGAGCCTCCAATTGCACTTTGTTGTCGCAGTCCCAGGCAGTCGTGGTTTTTGTTCTTTTTTTTTTTGAGATACCCTTTATAGAAAAGGGTATATAGGGTTTTTAAATAGAATAATAATTATAAAGAATATGAGATGAGAGATTTTAAATTTATAATAATCTTATCATACGGAAAAA